TTCCCCATAATAAGATCTTCATTTGCTGAGTAGATGTTATTTTGAAATTGAAAATAATTTTGTTTTAGGCAAATGTTTAACAAATTTAGGATTTCTTCTTTGATTATAATATTACGATCTAATAAGTTTTCTACTAGCTTAACTGTTTCTTTAGGAGGTATACTAGGAAATAAGTTTGTTACATCGCACGATACTAATTTTGTGTTACTAGGTAACTTAATGTTTTTTAATTTTTCTGTTAATATCAAAATAAATAAATATCAAAAAGAACTAAAACGTAATATTCAGGATTCAACAGCAATTTTTGATTCTAGAGAAAAATTCAAACTAATACAAACGAACCCTCAACCGCCACAACTTTATTCTTTAATAAAATTACACAAAGAGAACTATCCTATTAGACCAGTTGTGTCATTTGTCACGGCTCCATCAGTTAAACTTTCACATACATTAATTAAACCTATACAAGAAAACTGAAAATTCAATTCAAAGTATAGTATAAAAAATTCTTATGAATTAACAGAAAAATTAAAAAACATTAAATTACCTAGGAACACAAAATTACAGTTCATAAAATTTCTAGAGGTGTTCGACGCCCAGACAGAGAACGCGCTACGTGTGACTAAGATAGCTATTGTACAGTCTGCTAAACAAGTTATTTTAAATAGTTTTTAATATTTTTAGGTAATTAAATTTTAAAAGTGTGGAATAGTTTAGGGATTAAATTGGTCTGATTGGACTTTCTTAGAACGTTTTTAAAAGCAGCTAAAGATAGTATGTAGAATTGAAAATAATTATTATGCCATAAAAGGTGTTTTGGAATTCCTTCAACCTTTTGAAATTGAGTCAGAAAATATAAATTTTATAGGATAGCGGAAAATACCTATAATTTTTTTGTAGGCCTTTGTAAATCGTGGAAATAGTTTATATTTTATTTCTACCTTATTAAGGAAAATGGTACCTATTATTATTAACGGTTGTTTCTGAAACATTACTAAAATTTTCGAAATTTTGTTTTTCTACAAAATAATAAACTATACTATTTAGAAAAAAATTTATTTCTCTTATAATTTTATAAAAAATAACAGGGGAATATTTATATTTCTTGATCTATTAAACAAAACGATAAATTATCTCGACGAATGACACCATGTTCTAGTACGGAAGCTAGCTTTACATTTTTGTTGGTGGTTTCATATCAATTTTTTGTAATTGTAGTTTACACGTACATATACCTCTTAACACTTGTTTGCTTTATTAAAAAAGTGTGTTGTTGTGATTTACGTCGAAATAAGTCAAAAACAACTTGAAACCCCATATAAAATCAAAAAGGAGAAACGGAAAAAAATTGAGCCTGTAAATAAACACAACTCAGAAACAAAAATAGCTATCTAATAATAAAAAAATAAAATTTGATTCTTGTTCATCTTCGTTGTAAAAATAGATAATACTTTTTTGATCTTAGGTACAGATATAATTTTAATGGTCTTCCGAAAAACTTTCTTCAGTTTCCATATCAGATTCAAAATCAGTCTCACTGTCACTGTTTAAGTTAATTATAAATCTATCAGTTGCCTCATCCAAAGTAACTTCTCTGTCATAAAATTTAGATTCCCACATTTTAGCATTATTACAACGAGATTGCCACTCCTCTTTAGAAAACGTATCAAAAAAGTCTTCACACAACAGTTGTACCTGTTAACAGTTGTGCCTCTTAAATGTAGTGTTGTTACTAGCTACATATTGTTTCAATGATGCCCACACTAATTCGATCGGATTAAGATCGGGATGATACGGTGGCAAACGCAAACAACTAAAACCATGTTCATTTATCATTTCTTTAATTGCATACCTCTTAAATCGTGACTTATGCAACAGCACTAAACTGTATAATTGCGTTTTGAGCATATCCCCTTCGTAAGCAATATTATGATTCCTTAACCAATCCTGCATGTCAGCTTTTTTAGAAGTTGACGTTGGTGCTTTATTTACCTGGACATTATGGTAAGGAGCATTATCAACAATAATGACGCTTCTTGGAGGGAGGTTCGGAAACAGCTTTTCTTTCAACCATTTAGAAAAATTATTAAAATTCATTTCATCGTGGTAGTCTCCACTTTTGGTTCCAGATTTGAAAATTAACCGGGCATTCGGAATAAAGCCCATTTCACCTCCTGCATGGACAATAATTAGTCTATCACCTTTATTAATTGGTTTCTTTAATCCCTCATTTGAATTATCACTCCAAGTTTTCTGGTGTGTGTGGGAGACATGAATGTATGTTTCATCTAAGTAGACAATTGGACGGCCCTCTGCTCGATAACTTTTTAAACGAATCAGATAGTCTAAACGTAGCTTTTGAATATCAAACCTTTCCATTAATATTTTTCTGTTTGTTTTTGTTTGTCGCCAACGAAATCCTAGCGACTTTATTATTTTTCTTAAACTTTCATAGCTTCCTTTGTACCCTGTAGCTTCTCTAAATTTAGTCAGAATTGTTTTTAATGTTGGAACAATATTTTCCGAGATTAACATGAACAGAATAATGGTTTTTTAATGGTTTTTCTTGGTGATGAAAATTCCGATATCTCACGGTTATCGATTCTTTTTTTCTCTCCAGAAATGCGGACCACAGTGTTTTTAGATACTCCTGTGGCTGCAGCAACACGATCATTTACATTTTTAAATGGTATTGAAGGTGAATTAAAGTTTCCTTCTCTTCTCATAAACTCTATAACATTGGCTATTATTTCGCGAGATTGACTGTTAATCACGCGGCCTCTTAATTTGCTATTAAACTCCATACTTAGGTTCTATTAAACTGTAATGAGCAAAAAACACAAACGAAAATAAAAGATATGTTTTAGCGAAATTTACATCTGACATTTACGTCTGAATAAAATAGTGAAATACTTGATGCCCAGAGTGTACTTTCATTGCGTAAATCCGTCGGCCCCGCCAACCGATGCCTCTCAGTAGTGCTTTCTCTGTCTAGCCGTCGAAAGCCTCTAGAAATTTGATGAACTGTAGTATCGTTCGATGTAACAAACTTATTTCCTAGTATACCTCCTAAAGAAACAGTTAAGCTAGTATAAAACTTATTAGATCGTAATCAAGTCAATATTATAATCAAAGAAGAAATCCTAAATTTGTTAAACATTTGCCTAAAACAAAAATATTTTTAATTTCAAAATAACATCTACTCAGCAAATGAAGGTCTTATTATGGGGAACCCATTAAGCCCGTTGCTTGCAGATATATTTATGGATAATATAGAACATAAAATTCATAGCAATAATTTAAGTAAACATTGTCTGTATTGGCATAGATATGTTGACGATATACTGACTGCTTTTACTGGTACTAGTAGACAGTTAAATTCTTTATTAGTTTTTATCAATACTATACACCCTAATATTAAATTTACTATGGAAACAGAGAAGGATAATTCAATTAATTTTTTAGACTTAAATATTATTAAAAATAATAAAGGCCATAGTTTTGGGATATTTCATAAGCCATCACATACTGATATTACAATAAATAATAGTTCATCTCATCCATACAAACAAAAGCTGGCAGCATACAACAGTATGATCCATAGATTAGTTAATATTCCCCTTACCAAAGAGAACTTCACAAAAGAATTAAATATCATTAAACAAATCGCAGTAAATAGTAATTTTAATTCAAAGTTAGTAGACAACATTTTAGAGAAAAAACTTTTTAAACAGACTATTCAACAAGTTCCCATAATTAAAGATCAAAATTGCAGATATAGGAGTCTTACATATATAGGAGCTCCTAGTGAAAAGGTATCATCGTATTTAAAAAACCAAAATATTAACGTAGCTTTTAAAACCAATAATACGCTTGGGAAGTATATTAAAAACAATAAGGGTAAAATTAATCCTAATAATAAATCGGGGGTATATAAATTAAATTGTGGTAGTTGTCCAAAATTGCATATTGGTCAAACAGGCCGTACTTTCAAAAAACGCTATTCCGAACATTATAATAGCTATACAAAAAACAAAAATAATTCTACTTACTCAAATCATATTTTAGATGAAAATCATTCTTTTACAGACAACTTTGAAATTTTACATATAGAAAATAACAGCCTTAAATTAAACCATTTAGAAACACTTGAAATAAATAGATTTAAAAATTCAGATAACTTACTAAATGATCAATTAGATATTAAAAATGCACCCTTATTAAATCTCTTTCCTAGTTTTCTGTGAGATAATCCCGGTAATGTGCTATCTTATTGTTATCTGATTGATATTATAATTACCTAAGTACCCTTATTTACTTTAAATAGTTAGTTTATTTTGTAATGTTATTGATGTTTTTCTTAAGTACTTTGTTTTGTTAAATTATTTCGTATATATATTGGATACCGAATTGTAAATAGTCACATTTGAAAAAGAAGTTGTACTTCGAAACATATGTCATGTTAGTGTTTTTAAAAATTTTTATATTTTTAAAATAAAAGTGTGAAAATCTACCAAATTTGGTTTTACTCTTTCAAGATTAAATGGATTTTCATCAAGTAAAGGCCGAAACAATAAATAATTCATTAGTATGAACAGTTTCCGTAATATGAACGCGTCAGGATTTTTTGTGTTCATATTACCGAGCTTGTACTGTATATGCCGGGGATCAACTTGTGTATCACTTGTAAAGTTAAAAAAGAAACAATACCAAGCTTCACACAAAATTGGAATCATTTCTAAATCTTCGTCAACTTTATGAAACGTTTTTTGAGATGTTCGCTACTGCTCTACACTCAACTTTTGTATTACTTCCAAAAATAATTTTGTGGAAAATATTTGATTTGGATTCAAATTGTTTAACAAATCCCGTTACTTTTGCTCCTTATTTTATCAAAATATGTTTTAAAATTAAATAAAATACAATAAGGAATGTTAAAAAAAAGTTATTTTAAACTTAAAAAAAAAAACATTTTTATCAGCTTAAAGAGAAATACATACATATATTCGATTGTTCCACAAAAAGTATGAGTAAGTATTCCTTCGTTGATGTGTTCTTTACACAAACCGAAATCTGTCAATTTAACATGTCCCTGAGCATCTAATAAAATATTTTCAGGCTTAAGGTCTCTATATATAATTCCTTGTCCATGCAAGTGTTCTAAGGCGAGAATTATTTCAGATAAATAAAAGCTAAAAATTATTTTTCATTAGTTTTCTTTTTAACTTGTTTTGAAGACAAAAGTTACCAAGCAGTGTCTTCTAAAAATATTCCTTCTCTTTCTAGATGCATAAAAAGTTCACCACCACTAAGATATTCTAAGATTAAGTACAATTTTCCACCAGTTTGGAAGGCATATATCAAATCCACTATAAAAGGATGCTGAAAATTAAATATTAAGATAAAATATTAAAATAATAGAGTAGGTAATGTTATTTCTCTTGATATATTCCATTAGAGGACAATGTGAAAGTTTGAATAAATTCAATAAAAACTTTGAATTCAGTAAGAAAAATGTTCAAAAATTTAAATTTTAAATTAGGGATCGTAGGCATAGAAATGTTCCTAGTTATTATATATACGAGGTGATCCATTAGTGTGAAAAAGTCCAATATCTCCGCCATTATTAGAAATATAAAGAAATATTTTCACAGAACGGTAGACAACATTAAATTACATATTTTAAAATTATTTTTGAATATACAGGGTGTTTAATAACTTCCCTCTGGAACCAACTTATGTTCTTTTTAATGGATCACCCTGTATTTTATTTTATATTTTAATTGCTCTAGCTTTTCCCATTCTAAAAATATAAATTATTGGTTTATACAGGGTATTTTGCAGGATATAATCGGTTTTGTATGAAAATCGTATTGAATTCAATGACCTATATCATACAAAAGAAACCATTGATAACCTTTTTTTTCTACCACAATCTGTACAGGGTGAGTCAAAACACAAATTCATAATTTTCTCAATTTTTTTAAATGTTTCACCCTGTATTTTATATCATCGTTCAAAAGTATCCTAATTATACTTTAATTTGACTTAAGCATTCCCTATAACAAAAGTTAATAGTTTTTAGAGATTTTTAAATTTAAGTGGTAAAAACGATAATTCAGAAACTAATTGATAGAAAATACATTCTGTTTGATAATTAGTAATTATTATAATTTAACCAGCTGTAATTTATTATCGATTTTTTACATTAAGAAAGAAAAAATATCAATAGCTAGCACAAATTCATACTTTATTATTTAAATGTAATTTTTGCAAATTATATTTAATTAGAACAGTTGTTCAAAGTGGCCTCCCATAATATTTATGCAGGCCTGAAGACGGTTTTCAAAGTTCCGACTCACATTTCTAAGAATTTCCACAGTAACACTTTGAAATGCCTCTCTTACTCGTATTTTCATAACATCTACTGTAGTTGGAGGTATTTTATACACTAGAGCCTTAACGTAGCCCCAGAGAAAAAAATCCATTTTAGTTAAATCTGGTGACCAACGGATTGGCCCGCCTCTTCCTATCCATCTTCCTGGAAATTGATCTGCAAGTTCGCCATTTACAAGAGCGTTATTGTGAGCAGGAGTACCATCATGTAAATACCACATTTTTCGGCGTACTTCAAGAGGAAGATCTTCAAGCAATATTGGTAAAGAACTAACTAGAAAGTCTAAGTACAATTCCCCATTTACAGGTTCGTTAAAAAAATGAGGTCCTATCACGTACTCACCGATAATGCCACCCCAAACATTTACTGACTGTGAGTAATTATATGGTATGGATTTGAAGTAAAATAATAATGAAAGTTGTGCCTATTAACATATAATATATTTGAAGGAATGAATTGGTTCTAATAAATACTACTGGGAGTTTTAGATGTTTAAAAGTTGATTACCTTGTATAAAATCCCCTGTACATAAAAATAAACTTTTGATCTTGTCACACGTTACAGCTATTTAACAAATATTTTATCTTAGATGTTAATACCAAAGTTTCGAGCATTTTTTTGGTAAATTCTCACATTTTTTATAATAAGTAGATAATATCTCAAAATAAAAAAAAATGGTAATGTATGTTAAATTGTTAAAAGTAGAATGAACATGAGCTCAAACCATTGATATCGAACTACCGATTAACTCGAAATTAAACTGACTTAAGATAGGAATTATTTTATTAGGTAGTGGTTTGGATCAACCCCTTATTAAATCACCCACTTTTCAATTTTTCTAGGGCATCATTTTGATGCCCTAGCTTTTCCCATTCTAAAAATATAAATTATTATTGGTTTATACAGGGTATTTTGCAGGATATAATCGGTTTTGTATGAAAATCGTATTGAATTCAATGACCTATATCATCAAAAAGCACGTACTCAAAAAAATCTCTTCGTTCAGTAATATTTTGTTGTGACCATTCACAAAAAGTTACCCTGTGTTCAAAATCCATAATAGTGAGTTCTTGATATAGTTGCATATGATACGGGTGCATTTTATTTTTGGAAAGTATTCTTTGTACTGACGTATAACTTATTTCCTGTTCTCTTGAAATATTTCTTATACTTGTATGCGGATTTTCGGTAACTGCTAACATTGGCGGCGGAATAACTTTTCTTGAGAGGGGACTTGAGCCCCTCTTAAAAATGCACTCTTCCATAAAATAAAAATAATATAAAGGGTGTTTATCTATGCATATTTTTAAATTAAAACAAATAATTATGCATATGTGAAAAAAATTAAATGCGTATACATGTAAATATATAATATGTAAGTATGTACCAGGTTGATATAAAAAACATTCAAAATTAAATTAAGACCTTTTTCTATTTTTCTTTGCAAAAATTTCCACTCCTTGAGGGTCAATCTGTTTAGCCAACTCATTTTCGATGTGAAGTATGGAAAGTTGTGAAAATCTATCTTGAGCAGCCAAGTTTTAATTCTTCTCATAGCCGAAAAACTGTGCCCGCACCCGGCGGCATTTTTCTGTTTCCTATACGAGTAGCGCTACTCGTGTAGGAATCGTAGAATATTAATATTTTACAATGCCTACGCGATCGACGCACATTCTCTGTACGCTTAATAGGAAAAATACTTTTGTTTTTTATGAAATGATTTACAAAGGTACGTTTACTCTATTTTATTTATTATAAATACAAGTTAAGAAAAAAAACCTAAATTAAAGTTAATTCTAAATATAAAAGGTACTATCCTTAATGCAAGCTTTCGTGACTTTTAGCGTTGGGCTGATTCGAAACTATATTTAGCAATAAATGTTTTTTCCGTTTAGAACATTTCTTTAAAGTCTCCATTTTTGAAGACCTGCCAGCCGTTATCGCTTTGGTTCCAGCATGCAAATATGTTTTTGTACGACGCGATATTGACGTAGGTTGAACTATAATTCTCCTACCTCGTTTCATGTTTTTGATAGAAGAGCATATATTAGAAAATAATTCTTCATTTTCAATGTGCCCTAATTTTGTGTTTAATTCTTTAATGGATGGATGAGATGCGGCAAACGCTCCATGGTGTATTTTCACGAGATGTGCGTCACTCGCGTAGGCATTGTAAAATATTAATATTCTACGTTTCCTGTACGAGTTAAGACTTGGTTTCTTTGAACACTCCGTCGCGGTGAGCGGACAGTCCGTCGACCGCTGAGGACAGCAATTTTCGCCCGAGGTGGTTTGTTAAAAAATATAGAAAATGATACTTTCTCTATGTCTGTACGTGCTGTTTATGTATTATGAATGTAAACGAAAGGTACTAAAATGGTTGCAAATAAATTGTTTGCATTGTTATTATTGTTGGAAGAGGAAGAACAAGAGGAACTGGCAATTGCAGCCGTCAAAGTTTCCAATAAGCCAGTGAGTGAGTTGTTTTTGTGTCGCGATACAGAAGGTGCCTTTAATATCACTGTGCAGCGGAGGCTTTTTGGAAATGAAACCAAATTTAGGGAGTATTTTAGACTTTCTACAGATCTTCTTGAATTCGTGTTGAGTTTTATAAAGGACATAATTTCCAAGAAATCTAAAAATAAAGTCATGATGTCATATGTGTCAATAATTTGTCACTCATTGTTTTAAAATTAATAACAATATAGTCTCCGCACACGCCGACGATTCCGCTGATATCAAACTCAACAGATATCAACCGACTCTTCGCGACAAATCAGCGGCATAACGCCGTCCTGCTCAGATAAGCGGATTCAAGAAAACCATACCCATTTAAATACTCTGGTTGGATAAAATCGTCAAAACGCGACGGTTGACGGACTGTCCGCTCACCGCGACGAAGTATTCAAAGAAACCAAGGCTTAACGCTCCGCATAGTGATGCTCGTATAGGAAACGGAAAAATGCCACCCAGCGGAGCTAACAGGAATAGCTATTTCAACCCGTAACAGTTTGTATAAATTGGGTTGGGCATTCGGTCTCACATATTTTTTCAAAATATAAAACTTGGTGCTGTGCTCATTTTTAGTAATTTTACTTGGTATTTTAATTTCTGCCTCTATATCAATTTTAAAGAGTTGTGCATAATGATGAATGAAGGCATTACCACCTTCAAAGGATATATCGTTACCCTAATTAGCAAACCTCGTAACTCCACTTTTTGCCAAATTTACATTTTCATGCCAACTTGTAGAGAAAACCTCTATTATACAGGGTGGCTCACGCTCAACGGGACGGAGCTTTATGGGAAAACGACCAAAGATATAAAAAATTCGTTTGGGAGGAATACGTAGGTTACAGACGGCTACAATTTAAAATTTGTTAGATGTATACAGGATGTCCCACATAAGAAAAAAAATTAGTTCATTAAAAATTATTCAAACAAGAGTAAACAATTAATTTCTGGGAGACTTTTTTTCCTTAAAAATTCAAATAAATCGAAAACTAATAATAATAGTAATAGGGAACCTTTAGTTAACTGACATTATTTTTGATGTAGTTTTTAATTCTAAAATAAAAAACAGGGTGTTCCATTAAAAATAATATAACTTTGTATATTTTCTCTTATGTGGGACATCCTGTATACATCTAACAAATTTTAAATTGTAGCCGTCTGTAACCTACGTATTCCTCCCAAACGAATTTTTTATATCTTTGGTCGTTTTCCCATAAAGCTTCGTCCCGTTGAGCGTGAGCCACCCTGTATATTTCAAACCTCCTAAATCCATAATAATATTATTCTGGATTTGTGAGGTTTGAAACATGTAAGAGGAGGTTTTTTCTCTACAAGTTGGCATGAAAATGTGAATTTGGCAAGAAGTGAAGTTACGAGGTTTGCTAATTAGGGTAACGATATTTAATAAACTATCAATACTTTTTGCAAAGTCTATGTCGTCAAATCTTTCCACAAATTGATTTTTTACAGT